TCCCGGACACTTGAGATTTGCAAGTTAATTGAGAAACCAAAAGACAATAGGGTAGACATAAAGTAATGGAAACTTTCAATCTGTCTGTAAGATATATGTTGGCCATACACAAGGATAGTAAATAACTCTGAATTAACAGTTTGAATACATCTCAAAAAGCCTTTAACACACAAGGTACCAGGTTATATTTTGAGGATTGAATGTCCCATAACCAGATTTAAAATATCTGTACATAGTAGAATAGACATAATATTAACTATAATGCTAAGTAGGATATGATTTATACCCTATACATGCTAAAATAAGATATTATACGTAATATGATAGAGACATAGTGACAATTTATCCAAGTAGGATTAAATCAACCTTCTGACAAGCAATTACAGTTGAGTTGGATATTGAAAAGTGGTTCATAAAGGACATTCTTTGGAAGGGAGTTGGGAGAATAGAAGCCATGTTCAGAACATGGTGGGGTGCCCAGAACCTAAGTTCACAATAGTGAGTGGGAGATGGGGATCATGATGTGGATTTGTGGATGGAGGCCTAAGTGTGAAGATGCCAGCTGGCCATACTGAGGAGACTGGCTGTTACTCTGTATGCAACTGGGAACCTCAAAGTAGAGAATGAAATAGAAAAGTAGGTCTGTATTTAGAAAACTAAAACCAGTAGAATAAGGTGGTTGGTTTGAAGTGAGGAGGTGGGGTAAGTAGGCTCTTTCATCAGTACCATGAAATAATGAGAACCCGAGCATTGGAAGTGGTGGCTGAAATATGAAAAATATATTTATTTCAGAATAAGTTAATTGCGTTTTTCTGAATCTATTCAGGAAAGCTATTGATGGCATCAGCCACTAAGATGCTACTGGTAAGAAAAAAGAGTAGGCAAGAAATCTAGCAGTAACATAAGGCTGCAAATTATATTGGCCAAAGAAGCACATATGCTATTAACCAATGGTGCCTATTTTTATATCTGGTACTTCTCTCTTATGCAGAGGAGATAACATCTAGACAACTTTTCCTTATTACATTGCATTAGGGAAAAACATGGTTTTTTAAAAATCAATAAAAGGTAGACTTGATCTCTTGCCTATTGAAGCTAATGTGGTAAATCGTTAATATTTGTTAAATCTAGGTGATGTCTATAATCTTGTTTTCTGTATGCTTAGTCTATGTTTAAAATAGTAGATGGAGTTTCTAATAATGATTGTTTGAAACAGTGTATATTTTGCATGTTTGAAATAATGTATACATTAAGTAATGCATTTCACTGCTTAAAAGAAAAACAAAAACAAAATAGGAACATTAGAATTCTCTGAAATTTTCAGGATTTTTTTTTAAACATTGTATACATGGAGCATTTATTTTGAGGTGAGAAAGGAGTATTTCTTAACCATATTCACGGTGCTGAAGATAAAACAAAAATGATTAGAATACCTTTCTTAGCATGTTTTACTACACAAAAGAGATGATGAAATTGAATATATCCAAAGATTAAATGCAAAATAATCAAATGTAAATTTGTCTCAAGGTATAGGAACTCCTTGATGTCAAGGTTAATCTCGCCTCCCTATTTGTACCTATTTGTACGCTGGTGGGATGCAGCTAGTGTTTGTGAATGAAATACAACTTTTTGAAATTACTCAAGATTTTTGTGAACTGTAAATAAGAGTACTTATTAATCCACCCAGCATGGAACGATCTTGTGACTGAAAGGATGACTCTTATCTTAAAAATCTCCTAAAACATCAAACGAAAAAAAATACCCCGTTGCCAACAAGATGATTCTGACTCATAGTGACCCTCTAGGACAGAGTAGAACTGCCCCGTAGGGTTTCAAAGGAGCAGCTGGTATATTTGAACTGCCGACCTTTTGGTTAGCAGCCAAGTTCTTAACCATTGCACCACCAGGCCTAAAACATCAGATTTGATAATTTCCTAACCCACTTATAGCTTACATAAGTAGCTTCATATTTTCAGATCTAAAAGTAGGTTGAATAATTTGTTACAAATTAATGTAATACATTTTCAGCAAAGTTTTATTTTTAAGCTTTAATAAATAATTTTACAAAAATTACTATGTAGTTAGGGGGCATGCCTACTTGAATTTTAAGAACTATGGCTTTCCAAAACCTTCTCCATTTGAAACTGAGGCCCCTTGTTCAGTACTATGTTCAAGTCATACTATTTTTGGAATCAGATTGCTTGGACTCCTGCTTTCCTATTTTATAATACAGTTATTGAGGTTATTATGATTAATAAATAGAATGGTTTCATTGTTAATAACCTCAGCAAAGGGTTCTTTGGCAAGGGAGAAGAGGAAAATAAATTTAATCCTAAAGTAGCTATATAGACGTGAAATTCTAAATTAAATTCAAGATAAAAAAGAACCTAAGAATAGTATAAGTTTCCCTTGGACAAAAAATGCAAATAATCTCATTATACATTAAGAAATATGTGCAGTGTCATTAATCCAAGCTATGCCCTATATTTGGTTTATGTATTTTTTCTATGTGGGGAGAAGGATTAGTGGGTTTGAATCAGAGAGAGAGGAGTTATTTTAGTCTAACAACAGACACTGGGCTCCAGTTTTTAGGGAGTGTGGATGGGACAAGTGAGGGTCACACTATTTGAGACCAAGTGAAAGCCAGTCAATTTTCCAGAGAGAGATTGTGTTCATTCACTTTATATACAATCAAATACTTGTTGTTACTAGCTGCCATTGAGTGACCCCCAACTCATCGTGACCCCATGCACAATGAAACAAAATGCTGCCCAGTCCTGTGCCATCCCTGTGATTGGTTGTAGATGGACCATTGTGATCCATAGGGTTTTCACTGGCAGATTTTCAGAAGTAGATCACCAAGCCTTACTTCCTAGCCAGGCTTAGTCTCAAAACTCAGCTGAAACCCATTCAGCATCATAGCAACATGAAAGCCTCCACCAACACAAGAGTGGTGTCCTGCATGGGAGGTGAGAATTCTGTCACTGAATCACTACTGCCTTCCAGACTAAGATGAACTAGGAGTACTTCTGAAAATCAGTCAGTGGAAGCCCTGTACATTACAAAGGTCTGATCCCCAACCTATCGTGGGGATGGCGCAGGACTGGGTAATGTTCCAATCCATTGTGCATGGGTGTCCATAAATAGAGAGCTGACACAATGGCAGCTAACAACCACCATCAAATACTAGGTTCCTTGAATTTGCACATTTAAGATACCTTTGCAATTATTGTAAGAGCTCACATCACCAACGGAAAGGGGAGAATTTAGGCCTCATTGAGTCTCTCTGGTTGCATCCATGTCTAGTGGGGAGAGAAGAGACTACTTGTCTGCTGTTAGATGCTGTTAGATAGAGCTAATGGCCCACTTACCAATAGGGTCTAGGGCCGTTTGTTGGCCAAACTATATCTTTATATAATCTTGTCTCATAAAAATTTACCCTTGAATAATGGCCTATGTCCAACAGTCTTTAATGCTAAAAGTTAAATTTTGGAAAAGTTTATCACACCTGAGAACAATTAGCTAATAATCCCCCTGAGTATTTCCATGAATATCTATATGAATGAAGCCCATTTACCCTAAGATGTTCTTTATGAACAAGATCAAAATGGACAACTATGAACTAATATAAATTTCTTGAGAATTCAGTCAGTGGTGGCTTTATATTCATTAAAATCCACAGTGGTTCAACTCTTCAATGATTGGCTACGTACCGATTTTAATTGAATATTATTACATTTTTAATTATGCTAATTCATTTTTTTTTTTTAAATTCTCTGTGCTCTTGTTAGGAAGCCTTCCTCACCTACCTAGCTGGATTATTAATCTCCCTTCTCTATCTCCACAGAACCCTTTGCTCACCTCTAGTTGCTCCTAACACAGTACATTCTAATTTCTTATTCATGTTATACCAGAGACTAAAAGTCCATGAAGGCAAGAAACCACAGTTCATTACTTTCAATAATACCAATACCTTCTACTTAATAGGTGCTTATGTCAAATTTTTGCAATAAATTAATGCATGGAGAAAAAAAAATCTTTAAGACTTCATATAGTGATTCTAGTTTTGTGTTTTTACCCAACACCTGTTAAAACTCTAGTAGCTCTTTCATCAGTGTGCTAAGTGTTGATGTGGTAAAAGTAGATTAGCTAACATACATTGATTGTTTCAGCAGGACTTTACAGTAGCTTCTTTTTCATTCCACATCCAGTGAAGAGAAATGAAGTTGGTTACGAATTATACATAACTATAGGCCAGATGTGGAATACACTTTGCCTTCAGCTTTTTGTTTGTTTTTTTAGAGTAGGACAGAGGAACTGCTTGCTCACTCTTCTCTTGAAGGAGGACTAATACAGGATATTTTTCAGGATTTTTACTGATTCACTCTGATGAGAAGTACAAGTCCACTGAACTGAGAGCTGGGGATATCTGGCCCACATTTAGATATCAGGTATAAGCTGGTTCAGGAGTTCCATCGCTCTTAACTCTCCTCCAGAGACTTTCCCCCTATTTTATTGCATGCTTCAGCCTTATGGGATAGTAATGCAAACTTTATAGCCCATCCTATTCCTCAGTTTCGGGGATGAATTAAAGTTATGCTTTGAAGAGAAAGTCAATATAAGTGAAAATGAAATATATATATCATCATTTATCTATGTCCCACAATATAAGAGTTTTGGATGAAATGAAGAAAGTGTCTTTTAGTAATCCTTGTGCCTGCATGTCCCGAATGACTGAGAATGAGGCTGATAAAAGCAGTAAGTTATTATAAGAAGGAAATATTATATTTTTGTGTTTTAGGCTAGGTCTTTTAGTGATACAAATTAGATACGTCTGTAATTAAATAGAATTTGGACTAGGTTTCAGTAGAAAGTCCCATTGCCTTATGATCTATTAGTGGGTTCATTATTCCATGTGAGGATGTGAAGGAAGGTAATCAACCGCAAACATTCCCATGTGATGAAATCAGAACTGAAAAAGATATGCAGTACACAGTGAGGACGGTTGGCCACACAGCATTTTTAATCTTTATCTTTAGAAAACATTTGTATAAGCTCTCTAATGAAGGGATTATAGAAATACATTTAATATATAATAGTGTACTTTAGTGTACTTACTGTGAAAATAGCACATTTATTTAGAGAGCGATTTTATGCCCAAAGTTCTTGTTGATGTTTTGAAATATATTCCTTTCATCTCTTGCAATAATTGTTACCAAGAAAAGCAAAAGTACCAACAATTTTCCATTATTCCTCATCAAAAGTCTTCTCCTTTTGATTTATATTTCCCAGGGTCATCTAGAATGTTCACGTCAGTAAAATATCCTAGAAAAACGTCAGTTTTTATATTGTAAATGGTCTACATTTGCTTGCACTCATGCCTTGTGCACATGGCTTGCCGTTCAATTCGCCACGTGCCTTCCTCGTAAGTGCAGTGACAAATTGTGCAGTCATCAGTCTTCACTTCCCTTCCAGCTGGGATGACAGCAGTTTCTGCAAAGCAGTTTGGACCTGAAATACAAAAAAAAAAAAAAAGTTATGTGCGTGAATAAATATATGATGTATGTACTTAGGTAGTTAGCATTATAATGCATGTTTTTTTCCCCACTCTATTCCATGAAGGATAGTGAGAAAGTTATAATTTCAGTAATATGAAGTACTCCCAACGTTTCTGGAATGAAACCAATGTTCTTAAAATTTTTATGAGTGACAGCAATGTGTGATTTTCTTTAACAGACAATTCCACTTTACAGCCGTGTACATAGGCCAAATCTGAAATGATTTTATTTAATTAGTTCTAAGTAATCACACCACCACCTGCCTGTCAGTTTGTGGTACTCTGGTGGCTTGCATGTTGCTGTGATGCTGGAAGCTATGCCACTGGTATTTCAATTATCAACAGGGTCACCAGTGGTGGACAGATATCAGTGGAGCTTCCAGGCTAAGGCAGACTAGGAAGAAAGGACTGGCAATCTACTTCCAAAAATTAGCCAGTGAAAACCTTTTGGATTACAAAACAACACTGCCCAACTCGCTTGCTTTGAGCATGTCATCAGAAGGGATCAATCCCTAGAGGAGACATCATGTTTGGTGAAGTAGAGGGCCGACGTGAGCATGGGAGACAACTGGTGAGACAGACTGGCACAATAGTTGCAATGATGGGCTAGAACAGGCTGGTGATTGTGCGGATGGTGCAGGGCCGGGCCATGTTTTGTTCTGTTGAACATGAGGTCATCATTAATCAGAGTCAATGAGAGGACAGCTAAGGAAAAGCATAATTAAATGGGATCTTCAAAGAACCAGTCTTATTCTTCATGCCGCTTTTAGAAGAGACAGCACAAACAAAATGCATGAAATAACATAAACCCAATATAACTTCCACACCTCTCAGAGCTGTGGTTTCCAAAGTTGAGTGTACAGAACAGTCAGCTGGAGGACTGCTGCAACTCTGATTGCTGGTCTCAGCACCAGAGTTTCTGATTCAGTAGGCTTGGGATAAGGCCTGAGGCTTTGGTTTGATAACAAGTTCCTATGGGATGCTGATGCTGAGGACCACACTTTGAGAAGCACCATCTTAGCGTGTGCCAGAGGTACATCTTTGATGATCTTCAATAAAATCTGAGGATCCCTGTGATTCTTGATCAACAACATCAAATATAAGTTTCTCAATCAATGTAAGTGTCACATCTGCATTTTACTCTGTTTTAAGGGCAAGAATATGAAGAAATAAGTCAGAAAGATTTCTGATATGAGTTCAAACAATGGATTAAAAAAAAATAGAAATGGCTTTATGTGATGTTTTATACACTTAATTCAAATACGAACAACTGCTCTGCCTCCAAACTTCCCCCTAAAATCCAACAGCAGTAATTACTGCAGCCTAAACAAAGCCCCCCAAGTTTGAACATCAGTAGTTTGCTGAAATTCTCATTCTTTCTTTGCTTCTAAGTCTTTGTTAATGTTCTCACTATCAAAATGTTTAATTATAATGTGCGAAGTCATAAAAAAGAA